GCCATGTTGTACAATTTTGACCACTAGACACGTGACCAGGCCAAATCTATGACGTAACCAGACCAAATCTCTGGCGTCAACGATAAGATGGCAGCGCCCAGTGCGTGTCGAAAGCGTTGTGGGCGTTGATCGGAGTGTGTGGATTTCGTGTGCGGAATTCGGTTTTTCAGGGTTTTGTATGCTCTCCCGCGTAGGAATAACGTGAAGTACGAGGGAATGAGGCTTTTATTTCTTATTTAATTCAGGGTAAGCCAGATTCGGTCCCGTGCTTCTCGTACGGGCTCGGATCACTACCGACCGGTGCTGCTTCGGACATCGCTCGGTCGTTCGAGTTTAATTAAAATATCCGCAATCGTTAACCACGGGAGCTCCTCGATAATCGCTGTGTCGAAGGATACGTCGAACCCATCCGGAACGCGGAGTCTAAAGGTATGTAGGACGTAGCCAGAACGCGGAGTTCTAACGGTACGGCGGACGTGCCCGGGCAATTTTCTTTGCTCGACGGTCAAGATTCGCATTTGAGGCACCGAGAGAAGTGTTGAAATCTCCGAACTGCTCGGTGCTGAGCTAACTACGGACCACGTCACTACGTGATCCGTAGTGACGTGAAAAAGACCGACGGCGGTCACTCCGGCCGGACGGCGGCTCCCGGGCGCCTGCCAAGTGAATTCTGTGAAGGGGCGACAGTCGTGTAAGCAGTATTGTACCAGCTTCTCTTACAGTTATGTTGTTTTCGAGCAGCTTCCCGATCACTAAACCCCGCAAACGCGTGCCGAACTTTCAAAAGGTGTCTGCCAACCTGGAAAACCTTGAATTCCCAGGGAATTTCGGATCATCTGGGAAAGTCAGGGAATCGTTCAGAAAGTGGGCTAAATAAGGGAAGACGACTAGTGAAAGTGGCATGGCGGTTGCTCGTCGGCACGGCCATGCTGAATGACATTGCTGAAATTTCATCCTTCGACTCAGAAACTCAAGCAATTTGATCAAAATAGTCAGGGAAAAGCTTGGAAAAGTCTGGGAATTTGAAATCAGTAGTTTGTTAGACACAATGTTTGATTTTCTTGACACTCCACGCGTTTTTACACACGCCCGTGTATCACACGGTGGCCAGGCCAAGCGGCTGCCAGCCACTTATGCAAGGTCGATAAGACGCAAGCGTGGAACGCTTTCGGACTGCTGCAACTACACCAGCGGGAGCGTCCGGCCGCAGTCCGACTGCCCACGCTAGGACACCCGACACTGACTCCGCGTCCTGGGTACGTCTGACGTATCTTTAGATTTTTCATCCTAGGTACGTCAGACGTATCTTTAGACACAGCGCCTGACAATAGTAGTGAATGGGGTCACGTTCAGTGCGCAAGTCACTTTATTACACTCGGAGAGCAGAATTCCATTCCCGTTGCGCAGGTAGTTCCCCAGCTAGGCATGCGCTTGAAGACTATGTCTCACTCTTTCATAAAGCAAGCTTTGCGGGACCCCTCCGCCCTTGTGCACCAATTCGCAGGTCGTGTCGCCTTTCCTCACGTAACTCCCGCAGGTCCAGCGAGTTGCCGAGCCACTGCAGCCCTGGCGTCGCTCGGTACATACAAGAATCGGCTCACGTCGGTCGTCCAGCAGCACACTGGAAGAACGCAAAGCTCGCAGCCTCCTTGGTGCACGCAAGACGAGGCTGAGCAGAGCTCCAAGCTCTTCTGACGCACATGTGCATTGCTATGAGACAGGTGTCTCACGCCGATTCCTAGAGGTGTGGTCTCGCTGGCAGTTTTGTTGGTCCTTGGGGGCCGTCGGGGAGTGCCAGAAAGCAGAGTTCCTTCCTTGTTGCGCAGGTAGTTCCCCAGCTAGTCACTTCCTTAAAGAGTACGTCGTACTCTCTCTGGAAGCAAGCTTCGGGGGCCTCTTGTGCACCCATTCGCAAGTTGTGTCGCCATGGCTCACGTAACTCCCGCAGGTCCAGCGAGTTGCCGAGCCGCTGTAGCCCCGGCGTCGCTCGGTCCAAACGAGAAGAGGCTCACGTTGTTCGTCCAGCAGCACACTGGAGGGACGCAAAGCTCGCAGCCTCCTTAGTGCATGCAAGACGAGGCTGAGCAGACCTCCAAGCTCTTCTGACACACATGTGCACTCCTATGAGACAGGTGTCGCACCTCAATTGCTAGAGATGTGGTCGCACTGGCAGTCTTGTTGGTCCTTGGGGACCGTCGAGGAGTGCCAGAAAGCAGAATTCCATCCTTGTTGCGCAAGTAGTTCCCCAGCTAGTCACTTCCTTGAAGACGGCGTCGCACTCTCCCTGGAAGAAAGCTTCGGGGGGCTCTTGTGCACCCATTCGCAAGTTGTGTCGCCTTTGCTCACGTAACTCCCGCAGGTCCAGCGAGTTGCCGAGCCGCTGTAGCCCCGGCGTCGCTCGGTCCAAACAAGAAGAGGCTCACGTTGGTCGTCCAGCAGCACACTGGAGGGACGCAAAGCTCGCAGCCTCCTTGGTGCATGCAAGACGAGGCTGAGCAGAACTCCAAGCTCTTCTGACACACATGTGCATTCCTATGAGACAGGTGTCGCACCCGGATTCCTAGAGGTGTGGTCTCGCTGGCAGTCTTGTTGGTCCTTGGGAGCCGTCGGGGAGTGCCAGAAAGCAGAATTCCATCCTTGTTGCGCAGGTAGTTCCCCAGCTAGTCACTTCCTTAAAGACGACGTCGTACTCTATCTGGAAGCAAGCTTCGGGGGCCTCTTGTGCACCCATTCGCAAGTTGTGTCGCCTTTGCTCACGTAACTCCCGCAAGTCCAGCGAGTTGCCGAGCCGCTGTAGCCCCGGCGTCGCTCGGTCCAAACGAGGAGAGGCTCACGTTGTTCGTCCAGCAGCACACTGGGGGGACGCAAAGCTCGCAGCCTCCTTGTTGCATGCAAGACGAGGCTGAGCAGACCTCCAAGCTCTTCTGACACACATGTGCATTCCTATGAGACAGGTGTCGCACCTCAATTCCTAGAGATGTGGTCGCACTGGCAGTCTTGTTGGTCCTTGAGGGCCGTCGAGGAGTGCCAGAAAGCAGAATTCCATCCTTGTTGCGCAAGTAGTTCCCCAGCTAGTCACTTCCTTGAAGACGACGTCGCACTCTCTCTGGAAGCAAGCTTCGGGGGGCTCTTGTGCACCCATTCGCAAGTTGTGTCGCCTTTGCTCACGTAACTCCCGCAGGTCCAGCGAGTTGCCGAGCCGCTGTAGCCCCGGCGTCGCTCGGTCCAAACGAGAAGAGGCTCACGTTGGTCGTCCAGCAGCACACTGGAGGGACGCAAAGCTCGCAGCCTCCTTGGTGCATGCAAGGCGAGGCTGAGCAGACCTCCAAGCTTTTCTGACACACATGTGCATTTCTATGAGGCAGGTGTCGCTCGCCGATTCCTAGAGATGTGGTCGCACTGGCAGTCTTGTTGGTCCTCGGGGTTCGTCGAGGAGTGCCAGAAAGCAGAATTCCATCCTTGTTGCGCAGGTAGTTCCCCAGCTAGTCCCTTCCTTGAAGACGACGCCGTACTCTCCCTGGAAGCAAGCTTCGGGGGCCTCTTGTGCACCCATTCCCAGGTCGTGTCGCCTTTGCTCACATTGCTCCCGCAGGTGGCAGGGCAGCGAGTTCACACATGAGCCCTATTTGTTCTCCAATTGAGGGTCATATGAGCTCTACAAACCAACTTTGCCATGTTGCTTGTCCATCTCTGGCTCCATTCTTGGCACTCTTTGCTCGTTAAGTCATCGTCTCTAGTGATTATGTTGCATAGAGCCTGCAGAGCTGTTTTGGGTGCAGTTTTCACGACACAGCTGGCACTTGAGTGAAAATGCCTTGGTGCTGCAGTGGACCCGTGACCCTTATCAATGTCCGCGAAAGATTACCAACTTCGTCAAGAACTGTCGGTTGGTGCGACCTCTTTCTGTGGCACTCTGCTGACGGCACATGTTGTGGATTCACAGCTTGAAGAAGTATTCCAGCATTGTCTTGACCATAATTGCGCAGGGACTGGTTGTCGATTGTCTATGCCAGGAAGAGGTGGTCAAAGCTCTTAAACAGTAGGGTCATGAAGATGATGGCCATTGCCTCTGCCTGCAGTCTTTGTAGTCAGTTTCGACCTCCTTTGGCCGCCTTGTTAAAGTGCCTGCGAAGCACCTTCTCTGCTATTTTGCACAAGCCCAGGATGTCCTGTGAGGGGCTGTGGAGCCCACCAGCATCCTTGATCAGTATAAGGTCGCACTTGGCTCTTGTTAGAAGTGCGATCTTGGAGCACTCTGGGCACTTGGTCATTTTTGCAAAGTTGACTGCCACGTTTCCAGCAATGTACTCTACAACACATTCGGCGAATTCTGAAAGTGGCTTGTAGGAGACAGTACTGTTGGCCTCTTCGCCTCTTGCATCCTCAGCCCTTCTCTGATCTTGCTGGTGCTGCGCCGACGAGCTTACGAGAAGCGTCTCGGTGCCGTCGACCTGGCAGTTGCCGCAAGTTGAAGGCAGGACGTTGGCGAGCAAGCACTTTCTGTATGCTGACCGAAAATCTAGCGCTGTGGGGTTGTTGTTGTTACCCGTCCTGTTGCGTGCAGTGGCAAAAAACAGCTCAAGGTGGTCCTGACTGAGCTTTCGCGTCAGCAGGCACCTGAGTGGCGGACTGGGGCTCCAGACCAGATCTTCTGCCAGACCTTTGATGAAATCAAGGACAAGTAGGAAACCGAGGACTGGAGACTTCCTTGCCCCTTGGCTCAACGGCTTGCCCGTTACGTCTTTCAGGGCTCGAAGGTAGCGTGAAGCTTGCTCAATCCTTTCCAGAATGGTGACTTGGTTGCTGGCACGAATGGGACATTTGCTTCCACGACCATGTGGATGACATGATTTCGTCAGGTCAAATATATCATCGACTGCTGCGGTAAACTTGGCAGTCGCCTCAGCACCCTCGAAGCCTTGGATACCCTTTTCCTTGCAAAACAGCAAGGCGCAGCTGACGGACCGGCTCAAGGTTTGGGCTGCCAGCGACACCTTCATCTATTGTCTCTCGAAGTCAATGTGCTGCTTTCGGAGCTTGTTGGCTGCATGAAGGCCTTCTTGCTGCTGCAGGTTGTCCAAGGCCGGAAGGCACCGCCAAGCCACGACCTTAGCTGCCCCATCTCTGATGCACCCTTTCTCGGCCAGCAGGTCCCGCATGAGCTTTAGCATATGGCAGGCGTCCAAGACGGCGTGGACCCTGCTGGTGGGGTCCGATGGATGCGTGAACCAGCTCTTCATCGGCTGAGCAAAGCGCACTAAGAGCGCTGTGAACAAAGGTAATGTTGCAATTTGTTCCGTCACAGGTCACACTTATACACTTTGCTCCAGCATCCTTCAGTTTAATGATGTACTCCCGTACCAGGTTGGCGCGAGCGTTGCCGTCTAGACCATCGATGAGGGCGTAACTCAGGAGGATCTTGCAGTTTCGGTTGACTGCCACCGCCAAAAATACAAGTGCATGCTTTGCAAAGGTGACGCAGTCGTTACGGATGATGCCGTGACCCAGGTCACAGTACCCGACGACTTCTTTGCCATCCCAGTCTCTTTGTCTTTTTATTCCCATCTCATCGACCATCAGGCTGACGAAAAGAGGTCCCTTCTGGGCTTCCTGTGCAACTTTGTCAAACGACTGCTGGGTGAATCCTGGTCGTGCATCAACCACCGCTGCCCATTTCCGCAGTGTGCTTGGGTGTGGTAGCTTGACGTGCTTTCGCAGAAAGCTGTATGCCTTTGCCGAGTAAGAATGGAGCGTGAGGGCAAACTTGCGCACATCCTCTGTACATGCGTTTTTGTTGTGCCTGACTCTTTTTAAGACGAGGTTGTGCTTTGTGTTGGTGAATGCATTGTCAAGTATGTCAACTGCTGGCTTAGGAAGTCGTGTCCTCAGTTCACGGAGCAGCGTGTTCAGCTTCCTAATCCTGGCCGTCTTCCGATTGATGTTCTTCTTTGCCTGTTTCAACAGTTCCCTCGCCTTCTGCAGCTTGTGCCTACTCGTGGCCAGGACCCTGTGCAGTCGCGGTGACACAGCTGCGTACGAGTGGTTTTCGAAGGAAGTGTTGCGTCGCATGAACACAGCTACAGGGGGAGTCTCTGACGTCGTAGCCTGAGAGGGGGAAGTAACCAGCTCTACACTGCTTCCAGAACCAGCAGCAGCTTGGGCCTCTCCTGGGGTTGGCTGATCAGTCGTCGATCCAGGCTGCCTCTCTGGAGGGTGAGACCTGTCAGCAGAACAACGAGCGGTGACATTCAAGACTGCCTGTATTCCACATGACTGTGTGCCAGGGCATGCATTCTTGGCAGGTTATACAGTGCAGTGTGATATGTGACCACACATTTATGCGTTTGCCAGAACTGGCACTGACCCACAAAAAGGGGATGCTGGGAGTTCTGGCTTATGAATAGGGTTCCATGTTTTGGGTATTTTTAATTTGTGAGTATTACCTGGCTCAGTGAGCGAAAAAAGAGCCGTGATCAAAGGGTGCAGACAAAAGCCGTAACCAAAAGTTGTGTCCAAATGCCGTGACCAATGCAACGCAATCCAAGGGAAAAGAAAAACTAAAGAAAATACAAGAAAGACAAACATCTTTGCTCACGTTATCATTTTGGTCATGCGACTTAATTATTGATCACGTGATCAAACAAGAAATAAACTGAGAAATAAATTATCCCCTGCCCTGTTTCGAAAATAGGCTCTCATGATCGTAAAACTAGTGTGCTATTCGTTGCGTCAATCTCGCTCATTGACGTCAATATAACTCAGCCAAAGGTAATGCTCACGCATTCTCACATCATGAAAGAAAGCTGAGGTGCCCTCGTAGTTTTTTTTTTTTTTTTTTAATGGGAGTGATTTTTTGGTGCTTATTTGTTCTCTCGAATTTTGAGTTTTTCGGTGTCTATTTTTGATATCGACCAAAAATCGGAGTTTAACGGTACTTATGTGGTAAAAGCAAATGCACATCTGTGGCGTTTCTAGGAGACGCAACATTATATGCACTATTCATTGCTAATAGGAGCACATAAAAACAAGTTCCAAAGAAAAAGAGCAGCCTCGCGGACAGTTTAGTGCGGTCGGTGTTGTGGTTCATCAAAAGTACAGACGTTTATAAAGGTTCCCTGCCGTGGAAAGTGCTATTTCTCTTCAAAGCAAGCTCAATTCGTGTTCTTTCGGTTTTGCACATTTCAAGAAAAATGGTTTGGAGGCATATTTTTATGTATATCAGTGCATACTGAAAACACGAAACCCACTTATGATTGAATGATTGTAAAAAGCATACAGCATGCCATGGAATTATTATAATGGTGGTGGTTGAAAGTGTATTAAAGAACCTGCATGTTTTACTCAAACCTATCAACTTGATCCCAAAGATGCCACTTTTCTAGTGATTCGTTGACCACCACTTTCAGATACAAGAGACACACCTTTGCCAATTGTGCAACTAGTCGCCCGAAGTACCTGAAGACTGGAGCCTGCATCATGTGTAATTTTACCTTGTCATTGTTGTACTGATATTTTCTTTATGTGCAGTGTTGTCAAGTGCAAACAGTGAGCATGCTAGTTTATTAGAGTTCCATGAAACCTATCCCCCTCATGTAATGCATCTGCAGCAATGATTTTGAGGCAAATAAAAATATTGTGATCTGCTGCAATGAAACTTGCTGTGTGTTTTCTGCGGTAAAAATGGATTTTTTCAAATAATCTGAACTGTTCAAACCATTTGATCAGCAATCTATTTACGGTCCGTAAATACATTGTTTTGTATTTACTCTATTTTGGCGCGCGTCTTTTCGGTTCAGATTTCGACGGCTAGTCTTGCTTCGCCGCTTTGCTAGCCGAGAGAAATAATCAAACGACCCTAAAAACAAGACCATGCCGAGCACCTGCGCCGATATTTGTTGTGCCAACGGGAGCAGCCAGGACTTGGGGATCTCGTATCATAGGTAAGTTTCTTAATTCTTGAAGTCAACTCGTTTTGCTGGCTATGCAAACATGTTGAGACTGTTTGACGTAGCGTGCATTTCTCTTGCGTCCCCTCGCGTGCTAGGAGATCCGTGGCTCGCCGTCCCACGCACATATATAGTGCTCTACAAGGAAAGCAGCTTGTAAGCTGATCCCACTGCCAAAGCTTCACTTAGATTCATGCCTTCCACAGGAGGAAATGTGATTCCCAACAAAAGTATGGCATTCTTATTGCTAGTTTCCGAGAGCAGGGCGATTTGAATAAATAAGCACATACCTTAACCTACTCTTCCTCAGAGTGACTCAAAGAGGTGGTCAGTCTTCAAGATACCAGATTCTTGTTCATTTATGCACTTGGAATGTGCCTAAAGCAGTCTTCACCAGATGGCTTGGTACATTTCTCTTTGCATACAAAAAAAAAAAAAACAGGTTTCACAATTGCTTCATTATACCATCACAGCTTCCAACTGAATGATCCGGAACTCCTCAAGGCATGGATGGAGAAGCTGCCCTGCCGAGACTGGAAGCTCAGTAGATGGTCCAAGTTGTGCTCACTGCACTTTGCGGACAACTGTTTCTACCAACTGAACAATAAGACGTACCTCAGGCAAGGAAGTGTGCCAACGGTTTTCAGCTCTCCTGCAAGCAAGACAAAACGGTCACGTCGGAAGCGATCGAGATCGCGTTCTGACGAGGCCTTCCTTCTGTGCCAGCGACCGAAGCACAGGCATAGGTGTGAATAGAGCAAGTTTCATTGCAGCAGATCACAATATTTTTATTTGCCTCAAAATCACCGTTGCAGATGCATTAGATGAGGGGCATAGGTTCCATGGAACTCTAATAAACTAGCATGCTCACTGTTTGCACTTGACAACACTGCACATAAAGAAAATGTCAGTACAACAATGATAAGGTAAAATTACACATGATGCAGGCTCCAGTCTTCAGGTACTTCGGGCGACTAGTTGCACAATTTGCAAAAGTGTGTCTCTTGTATCAGAAAGTGGTGATCAACAAATCACTAGAAAAGTGGCATCTTCGGGATCAAGTTGATAGGTTTGAGTAAAACATTCAGGTTCTTTGCAACACCTTTCAACCACCACCATTATAATAATTCCATGGCATGCTGTATGCTTTTTACAATCATTCAATCATAAGTGGGTTCCGTGTTTTCAGTATGCACTGATATTCATAAAAATATGACCTCCAAACGATTTTTCTTAAAATCTGCAAAAACCGAAAGAACCCGAAAGAACGCCGGGGCTACAGCGGCTCGGCAACTCGCTGGACCTGCGGGAGTTACGTGAGCAAAGGCGACACAACTTGCGAATGGGTGCACAAGAGCCCCCCGAAGCTTGCTTCCAGGGAGAGTACGACGTCGTCTTCAAGGAAGTGACTAGCTGGGGAACTACCTGCGCAACAAGGATAAAATTCTGCTTTCTGGCACTCCTCGACGGTCCCCAAGGACCAACAAGACTGCCAGTGCGACCACATCTCTAGGAATTGGCGTGCGACACCTGTCTCATTGGAGTGCACATGTGCGTCAGAAGAGCTTGGAGGTCTGCTCAGCCTCGTCTTGCATGCACCAAGGAGGCTGCAAGCTTTGCGTCCCTCCAGTGTGCTGCCGGACGACCAACGTGAGCCTCTTCTCGTTTGGACCGAGCGACGCCGGGGCTACAGCGGCTCGGCAACTTGCTGGACCTGCGGAAGTTACGTGAGCAAAGGCGACACGACCTGCGAATGGGTGCACAAGGGCGGAGAGGTCCCGCAAAGCTTGCTTTATGAAAGAGTGAAACATAGTATTCAAGTGCATGCCTAGCTGGGGAACTACCTGCGCAACGGGAACAAAATTCTGGTCTCCGAGTGTAATAAAGTGACTTCCGCACTGAACGTGACCCTATTCACTACTATTATCAGGCGCTGTGTCTTAAGATACGTCTGACCTACCTAGGACGCAAAATCTAGAGATACGTCAGACGTACCCAGGACGCGGAGTCTGTGTCGGGTGTCCTAGCGTAGGCAGTCGGACTGCGGCCGGACGCTCCCGCTGGTGTATTTGCAGCAGTCCGAAAGCACTCCACGCTTGCGTCTTATCGACCTTGCATAAGTGGCTGGCAGCCGCCTGGCCTGGCCGCCCTGTGATACAGGGGCGTGTGCCTGTCGTGTGTAAAAACGCGTGGAGCGTCAAGCAAATCAAACATTGTGTCTAACAAACTACTGATTTCAAATTCCCAGACTTTTCCAAGTTTTTCCCTGACTATTTTGATGAAGTTCCTTTAGTTTTTGAGTCGAAGGATGACATTTCGGCAATGCCATTCAGCATGGCCGTGCCGACGAGCAACCGCCATGCCGCTTTCACTAGTCGTCTTCTCTTGTTTAGCCCACTTTTTGAACGATTCCCTGACTTTCCCAGATGATCCGAAATTCCCTGGGAGTTCAAGGTTTTCCAGAATGGCAGACACCTTTTGAAAGTTCGGCACGCGTTTGCGGGGTTTAGTGATCGGAAAGCTGCTCGAAAACAACATAACTATAAGAAAAGCTGGTACAGTACTGCTTACACGACTGTCGCCCCTTCACAGAAGGCACCCGGCAGGCGGCCGGGAGCCGCCGTCCGCCCG